ATTCCTCACGAGTTCTTCAGCCATTGTTGTCTGCTGATATATAGCTAGGTAGGACAAGCCCATTGAGATTGGTGGGCTTAATGTTTAAAGAAATGAGCAGGATCTCATTAGTTATTACTACAGATCTCGAATAGTGGATGCACCTGAATGGATATACAACTATATATTACTACTCTTTGAAACTGTGTTAATTAAGTCGAATAATTGTTTAAAGTGAAAAATATGAATTGAAACAAGGAAATGACCCACGAATTTATATACAGGGAATATATACATATATATACATATATATGACGGAGACATATGAAGAGGCCAGAAGGAACATGAAGCCCAACTGTAAGCTACTTCACTTCACTCGTTATTATTTTAGCTGAAAGACTTGCTTAAAATGGATGTGAAATATGTGGCCCTCTTTCAGTAGACCCACTGTGTATTCATGTGAGTTTTGCCTCCGTTTCAATCAAGGGTGGTCCCTTCTTCTTGGTTTTGAGCCTTACAGCAATGTCTCTCGGGGTGTTTAATTAGTTGAAGGAAATTAATGAGATGGGTTCACCAATCTAGACCACATTTTTAACCAGAAATTTTCTTTGTTAAAATCAATGACCAATCGTACTTGGTCGGTACCCTAGCTCTTACATTTATTGAATGTCGGTTCTGTGTTCTGAATCGTGGGGTGCGTTTACTGTAGTTCCCCTGTATTCCATCTAAATCGTCACTTTCAATTACCTTAAATTTAATTTTAATTTTAAAAGGTATATAACGATTATTGGATATTGATATTACACATGTGCACTTACAATTTTCATTATATTAATTATTGAGGAAATTGTAGCGAGTTTGAGCTAGCGGGTATTCTCCAATCTCCAACGTGCTTTCTTTGCTAGCTTCTAGAAAATACTAAAAATCAGAAAACAGAAAATAGAAGTGTTTTGGGTGTTTTTTTTTTTTTKGGGGGGGGGGGGGGGGAGTGTTTTTCAAAACAAAGTGAAAGTGTTTTCATTTTGATTTAGAACAACAACCTTATTTTCAAAACCCAAAAAGATGCTTTGAGTAACAAAATTAAGCATGATTTTATTTCTGTGAAGTTGAAATTAATGGGCTACTGTTTGGAGTGTCTTGCACACACCAAAATTTCCTATACACCCTTTTGCAAATACTGCTTCAAAGCTCCTATTGGATCGGATCGATCATGCAAACTCACATTCAAATGAGCTAGGTCCCAAAGTATAAATAAGAATTAAGGTCGAATAAATATCCATCCAATCAAAATCTCTATACGAGAGAGAGAGAAAGAGAATCAAGCAATTTGTTGATGAAATTCATAAATCCGAGAATAATTTCTTGTTTCACTTTTGGGATAAAGGAAAATACTAGACAGCCAAAAGAACTCGTTTTACATATATGCTTTCGTGTATAGAAATTAATGGTTTTCTTCAAACTAGATATGCATAGCCAAGTTTGAATTCTAGAAATCTCAGAAAATGAGCAGTACCTCAAAGTTGGTTTGAGATGTGAAAGGATGCTGGTGAAATGAAAGAAGAGTATTGCTTATATTAATTTGAATAGGATCAATGACTTGTAAACGGATAGAGAAGCATGAAGTGACGTGAGAGATGTATTTCATCCTAAACCAAAGCTGAGTCGAGCATTGCAACAGAGAGTTTGGCTTCAGTCAGAACAAGTCCATGCTCACACCATTCCAACAGACTTTTGTAACCTTGTATTGGGAATATTCATCCATGAAGTAAAGCACATAAGTAAGGAGATATTCTCAATGCAAGGCTGTAAGGGTTGTTCGAATAGGTTTTTCTCTAACTAAAGCCGAGTTCTGCAACAGAATGGAGTATGTAATATTTTAATGTGAATAGTGATGCTGATACACTATGAACTGTTTACACCAAGTAATATATAGACGACTAGCTAGGCTTATGTAGTTGATGACCACACGTCTTCATTCCAAGTAAATTAGGTTACAATTCAAGTTTGAAGTTTGCATCCCTCGAGACATGTATAGAAATCCCAAACTGAACCATTAAAACTTTGATTTTAATTTACTTTTAAGCTCAATTTAGAAGGAGTATAAATATAAATATATACGATACAAATACATATAAAATACAAGGTTTTATACTTTATAAATTTGTATTTGTACTCTTTCCAAACATAGCCTTAAGATCTATTCTTGGGTTATAAATGTCCATGCAAAGCTATTTTTAAAAAATTTTGTTGCTTCATAATTAGTATACTGCTTGCTCTGGGCAAAGAAGTAGTTTGTATTAATACATTAATTGGAGATCATCAAGAATTAGGTTGTAGGAGAAGATATTCTCCTGGGGCATGCTACAGGGAGTTTGGGGCCGGGAAGCAGTTCGCTGGAAGAGCTGTTACTGTCAGAGAAGCTTGTGGCTGGAATAGCTTATGCTGAGCCTTTAATATATATAAGAAAAAAGAGGGCCCATATAACCAGAGGCAGCCCTTAATCTGCTTCTCTGCTACAAGGAAAATAGGCAAGTGGGTATTAAAGATATCGTCATTCATAAATAAACAGATGAATGATGTATAAGTGGTTGAGCCCTTTTTTCTCAAAAAGCATGTCGGTTGACAGAGAGAGAGATGTGTATTTGTATTGTATACATTTGTATTTGTACTTCTTTTAAAGTGGGTTTTTTGGTATTATTTTCTAAATATTTTTTGAAAGATCTTTTGATAGATATAACAATCAAAAGATGATGTAAACTTTTGTATTAAGATCTTAGCAGTTTGAAGGCCATTTGATTAATGTGTGTATTTCCATATAAAGATGTAATAAAAAAGTCAAAAACTCTATTTAAAACTTCCAGAAAATAAACTAAAATATTTTCGAAATATCATCTTTTGAAGATTAAATATTTTTCCAATCAAATAGAAAAAGACCAAAACTCGAACTTCTAAATTTTATGGCCCGTACAAAAAAGCACACCAAACGGGATGTTATCAAGTATTCAGGAAAAAGAAGCGAAGGGAAGACGCGCCAAACTGGGTGTTATTAAGTATTCTGGAATAAGAAGCGAAGGAAAAGGAATGAAAGGGTTTTTAACTTTTTAGTGGAATTTAATGCAACTGACAGGGGTGCAGAAAGAGGTTAAAGGATATCAAACCTTGGAATATTTCAGATGGGCCTTGAGCCATTGTGCCCCTATTTTTACGGTAGGTCCTACCATTGATCCCACCCGACTGGCCTTGGGATATATGTATTCCACAGCATTTGATCGATAATGACAAACAAGGTCAATGGACACAAAACAAAAGCAAAAGCAAAAGCAAAAGCTTGGTCATCCAACTAAACTATATACTTCCATCCAATCAACTAAACAACCTAAACCTCTGAGTTGGTGTCCTCATGTTTATTTCGGTTCTCGGGATATCCTTTAGAAGTTTAAAAAACAAAAAAAAACAAAATTAGTCTAAGTGTATATGTTATACACGTAAACAAAAAATTCATATTAAATAATTAAATTTATCTTTCATCGCCTGCATCAAAATCGAGGTAAATAGACAGGATCCATTAATCAAAAACCAACGAATGCAGAGTGGAAGATTGAATCGTGGCCCATTTAGAGAATTTCCTACTAGGTATTGTTGGTGGATGGCTCCGACTAATCACATAATCCCTCCAAATTAATGGCAGGAATATGCCAGATCATGTAGGGAAGCTTCCTACTGGACCTGATTAGGGAACAAGCTCAGGCCACATGCATGCGAAGTTGCGAACTGGACTCTGGACCATCCATCTGATTGGGTGGGCTATCCCTAGACCGCGGGTACCGGTACGGTCTAACCCCGTACAATAAGGGGATGAGGGGAACCTTTCCTTTCCTTACACAATCAAGTCAACCATTTGTCAACAAAAAAAAAAAAGTCAGTTTATCAGATGAATAAGCTTGTCTGAACGGTCTGACTATTTGGGTTTATAGATACCGAGGGAGATCTCATCAATGGGTCCCCTGATTGGATTGTTTCATCCACCTTGCATGTGCGCCAAATGTACGACTGGGGAGTGATTAAGCATAGAATAATGACTTCACCAGGAAAAAAAAAAAAAGATTCGTGTTGGTACACCATAATTCTTGTGGGCCCCCGGTGGATCATTCCTTAATTCGTGTTCAGACTGTAAATCAGGAAATCTAAGTGGAACGTCTATGTCTTTCATAATATAATGAAATTGAAATTAAACAAAATCCAAAATAACTCTCGGAATTTGTGTTTAGTCAGAAATTATCAAAAAAAGAAGTAAGAAATACCATGGGCATGCGGATGGAAAACATATTTTTTCTTTAATTAAACAAGAGGTAGGAATTTGTGTAAATAAGTACAAAAATAAGATTATAGATTCCAGATTCCTTATTTCGTCTTGAATGATCCGATCCTGTAATGCATGGGAACTGGATCAGGCACCAAGATTATTTATATATTAATTGTTTCTTGTTTATAGTTCTACTAAGTTCTCCATTTTTTTTTCTTAAAGCAATCTGATTAGAAGTAAACAATATACAAATCAATGTATCAAGTACTTATAATAGCCAAAACATATAAGGTAAAAACTAAAAAAGAGTAGCATTTACATTAAAAACTTTACGTAAAAAAAAATACAAAAGACCAAACGACGGCCGTTGATTTCTTTGGAGAATTCAACAAGGCAACATGGAATTCCGTGGTGATTCAGACCTGCCACCTGCCACCTGCTTTCTTACATTTTAGATTTTACTGACGATGGTTGGCAACACTATTACATATATCTTTATTTTTTTTTGGTAGATATTATCAGTATATATGTGTATGTAAATACATTGGTGTTTGTTGACACGCCTTCTTCAAAGAATTCCAATCCTCTAAATTAAGTTATTTAACAGTCATGAATTGTTTGTTGATTTGATAGAGTATTTCAACTCATTCATGATTAATCAACTCTTCCCAGGTGTCAATCCATGCAGAAACAAAAAACAAGCTTAAAGCCTTAAACATTGAGAGCGTAATAACTAATACGGGGATCAGCCACCTTTTCCTTCATTAATGACTAATGAGTACTCTCACAGGGCGCAAACCAGCACCGCTGTAAGGAAAATCTTAAAATATACAAAATCTAACCCAGAAATGTTCATGGGTCTTGAGTCAGGGTCTTTTAACAGAAGATCAGAGGAAGAAAAAAAGATGAATGAGAAGAAGAAGAAGAAGCAAGAAGATTCTACAAAAAAGAGAAGCAGCGATGCAGCTTCGTCTTTGCCATCTTCTCCAAAGAAACCGCTCCCCAATCTTTCATCTGAGCGTGGAAGTTAGAGAGCGGAAAACAACTTCTTCGCAAGGAATAGTAAGACCCATTTCGTGATGGAAGCCGAACTCCTCTTCTGCTCTTTGAAGCAGACTCTGAAACTCGGGATGGGTTAGGAAAGAAATTGGAACAATAAATCTGCTTCTCTTCTCCCCGACGTATACTACAAAGTGGCCTTTGGGTACGTCGACGGGAAGACCTTCTTCATCATAGCCTTGTTTCTTGCCTAAGCTCGAACATCTCTTGAGAATCTGCTTGATTACTGCTGTTTGAGGTAGCTTGTTCGATTTCCCAAGAGCCATTTCGGAATTCAAGAGAATTGAAAAGGAGGTTGAAGTAAGTAGATAGATAGAAAAAAAAAAAGAGAGTGAAGGAGAGAGTATAAGAACAGATGGAAGGTGGCTTGAAAGGAGAGGAGGGAAAGAGGGGTATTTATGGAGTGAGAGTGTGGGAGAGAGGGAGAGAGAAAGAAGCAAAGTCATGTGGGCTGTGGGGGCAAAGGACAGACCACGGGTGTTTTGGGGAAGGTGTGTATGCAACAAGGACATGCTGGGAGCCAACCCCATTGGGCTTTCTCTCCCTTGTTGGCCCTCCCAAGGACAATATGGCCCTCTCTCTCTCTCTCCTTGGTTTGGATCTAAGTTTTCAAGCTTCTAACATTTTTGTCTTTTCTCTTTATTCAAGTTTGGAAAATGTCTATTTAATTTGCTTGCCCCCTTCACCCTCTTTTCCCTTCCTTTTCCTTTATTTATTTATATTTATTTATATTTTCTTTGTGGGTCTTTATCTGTAACTTCCGAGATTTTTTTTTGGGAATGTGAGTGGCTTCCGATTTAAAACATTGCTTCTCCACTTTTATTTATTTGGTGATAAGCCCTTCTTATTTTAAAGTTAATAGATTATTTTCAGTTTTCTTTTGGTAGCAAAAAAAAAAAAAAAGCAAAGTTTCAGGCTTTCTGAACACTAATTCTTAATTTTATTCTACCCTTTTATGGTTAAGGAGAACGTAATTTCAATATGTTTCCTCTCTTTCAATAGTCTGTTTTTGGTGCTTTTGATTCAATAAGCTTCAAACAGGCATGGACCTTTTAGTATGAGACTTCACTATATTCTTCTTTTTTGGGTTCGATTTCGAGTTTCAATGTCGCATTGATACATCTTTGTCCCCTCTTTTTGGGTGGACTTTACTCTTTACACATTCCCAGTTTCCTAGATTCAACTATCGGTTACATAAGCATAGCTCGTTTCTTTTATTAATCTTCCAATCTAAATTCAGTTTTGTGACGAACACTTTCTGAAATTTAATAAGAGTTTTCATCTTATTTATTATTGATCTCACTCATCTTTTCTTCTTCTTCTCCTCTCTCTCTCTCCCCCCACCCTTCACGGATCAATAATAACTGTACTGAAGAGTACCATCTGGTGTTGTGGGTGTTTGTGTTTGGCTTTATTTGATTGTTGTGCACTGGAGCTTGTGATTCTGTCGATTGAGAGGCAGAAAACGAAAAAAAAAAGTAATTCGCAGAGTATCAATAAGTTGCACAACTGCCATGTCTTCATCAACTGTTTGCAGTTTTTTGACTCTTCAGGCCCCACCAATCAATGCTTCACTGTTTTATCTTGTCTTTAATTTGATGGTACTCAGCCTGAGCCCTCAGATACAAACTAGCTAGTAAAGCTATAGCCTTCCTCAATGTATCTCCCTAGTATTTTCTTTTTTAATTTATTATTTTCTTTAGTCGGGGAACTACTTACTGCCTTTACGCTTCTATTTTCTCTTACAGTCTGTATCAAAATGGATAATCTTCCCAGTTCTGTACTTCTGGATAGTTTAGCATTTACGTTACAAGCAAAGATTAAATCAGAGAACAATGAGACCAAGCAAAGAAGGGCGGGACCAACCTTTTGGTAGGAAGTGGGAACCCACAAACATCTTTTATACCAAAATTCGTTCAATTGCTAAACAATTACTGACTGTTCTTTTCATACAGGAAAAATAGATAGAAATTTAATTTGGTTTTATATAATTTTCTCTTTTCATACAGGAAAAATGTATTTCTATCATGTTTTTAAAACCGAACCGGTCAGGGGTCCGGTTACCCATTTGAATGGTCCGAACGGCTGATCCATTCTGACAAAAAATAAAAAAAAAAATAAAAAGTGATCAAAACCATTCGAATGGTTAACTGGTCAGTTCAACGGTTTGCTGACCAAAATCAACGGTTTTGAAAAAAAAAACGGTTTTTAGAAAAAACGGAACTGGTCAGGTTATTGATTCCCGGTTTTTCTGATCCGACCATTCGGTTTTAAAAACCATGATTTCTATATATTATTTTATTGTTTGATCTCCCTTAATGGCTAATCCTCTAGAGGATATAGACGGTTGGCGTTTTTCTTTTTTTTTTTTTTGTCTTTTCCACTTGTATAAAAGCTGACCGGAATCCACGTAATAGCATGGGGGAGAGAAAGCTAGATAAAAAAGTTAATATTAGAGGATATGGTTCATCTTAAATGGATCAGAAAGGCGTTATGATATGGCTAAATTCATTGCCACGTGGCAGATCAGAACCACTCATACTAAATGGGCAACCTGAAAAGTTGGTGTCATTTAGAGGTTGGCACGTCATCTCTAGAACATGGTAAGGTATGTTAATACAAAATTTCAATGGACAGAAATGGTTGTGTGTGTGTGAAGAAGTGAGACGGCGTCTCCATCTCCAAGACTTGAGAGAGGTGGTCCTTCACTCCTCTTAACAACGACTATCACCAGATGGAGGGTGGGTTGCAATTAGACATAATGATCACATCTCAAACGAGCGAGCGCCAGCCACTGGTATCTCTAGCCTGGCCTGCCTCCCATCCGTAAAAGCTGCTTCCCATGTTCTGAGGCTCAAACCCATCTCACACAGCCGGAGTAGAAGTCCTGTACACTTACTTTTATATTTTCTGTCTTCTTCTCTGGTTTTCTATTATCGTTCACGGTACCATTGCCAGCAGTTGGGATGATTCTGGGAATGAGTTCATGAAAATATGAAATTAGTTAATTAGTGACGAGAGGTATCAGTTTAATTTAAGTACCCATAATTAACGATGAATATGGCACTCAACAGAATATCAGACACAATATGGTTGGGACTGGGGACAAGGCTTAGATGGTGGTGAACTGGTGATAGATGATATAAATGAGATATCAGTATGACGTTGTGAGGTTAGAACTCCGTCTCAGGTGAACACTTTCACAAGGTAAAGGTGAAAGAAAAAAATGGATTTGGGCAACGCGTGAGAATCTTTTGTAGAAGCCTCCCACGTTCTGTGAATGAGATTGGTTGGTGAAAATGAAATGGAGGATAAAAACAGAATTACCAGGTGGGTGTGGGTGGCCCACCATTCCCATCCCACTATGGATAATCAGCAAAGGCATGATTTGCTTTGGTTGATGCTGACTCGATCCTCCTGTTCTGCACATGAAGGCCATGTTACTCTTGCCCCCTCCTCGCAGAGAGCCTCTGGTAAAAGACCGTGCAGTAAGGTGTAAGGTTCTGTCTCTGTGAGATCATCCCAACTGCTAGAAATGGCTAGCTTGCTTACTCAACCAACCACGCATCCCTGTAACTGTAACTACCCATCTCTTCTAAGGCCCATGGTTTTGTAAAAGTGCTTGAGTTCATCAAACTTCCCTTTGTCTTTATAAGTATACATTGGCTCTTGTCAGCACTTGGGATATTGGCTAGGATTGAGATCGTGAGTGCTTTTTAATAAGGACGAAGGGCGTGGAAATGGGATGGGATTGATGATGGTGATATCATAAAGAAACAAACAAAGCAAAGCAAAGCAAAGCAACAGGAAGAAGAAGAAGAAGAAACTTGAAACAAATAAATGGATGGATGGTTAATAAACGAGGAGGATCAAGGTATAGCGGTGGTTCCATTGGTACTTTCAGTATACCAGAAATGATAAGACAACAAATGTTTACATCTTAGAATGGTTTTGGATCTTTTACGATTTTGATTTTGAAATTTGAATGCGGTCCTGGTGCAGGCATTAATACACATTGCCAATCTATCTAAGACACAAAGCCTCTCAACTAGCATGTGAAAGTGACAAACCATCATGGAAGGACAAGACAGAATTACGTTGAGAAGACATTGACAGCACAGAGCAGCCCCCACCTAAAAGAACAGAGAGGCCCCATTTCCAGTGCACTACCAATATCCGGACCAGAACATAAAAGGACTTACGGAGGTACTCGAAAAGCATCCCTAACTACATCACTTGTACTGGTATAACCAGTAGCAGGGGACATTGATGTGAGCCATGCAATACCTACAACTGTATGCCAGCTGCCAGCATATAACACAGATCACATCTTATACTGGGAAGATTGGATCTGCCATGGCCTTTCCTCAGATAACAAGGAGTGGAAATGAATAGGCTGAGAAATTGCCAAAATGAATGACCAAACAGAGAGAGAGAGAGGTCAGTTGGATGGGCCGATGGGGTAATGAAGTTGTTCATTTGGGGGCAAGGCAGCGCCACTGTAGACTGTACCAAACTACCAATACCTGCATTAACCTTGAAAATATTAAGCCCTTGCCAAAGCCAAGTGACATGGGAGACGTTAAAAACCAATGAAGACTTACCTACATATATGATTAGAAGCCATTACTTGGTGCAAAGGTAAAATCCCATGTAGGTGTCTATTTGAGGGCGGCCACTGTGATCTGTTCCACACGCACATCCTATCATGCATTGAGAACATCTCCTGTACTCATTTGTTATTATTCACGGGAATGCACGGTGGATATGCCTGTGAGACGCCCATTTGTGAGGAGCAGATCCCGTCACGTCTACCCCTTCCAAGGATATCAGATCCGCTCCTCACAGAACGCACCTCACAGCATGTTGCCAATGCACGACTCCATAAATAGAAATTTTTATTCATGTTCCCAATGCATGGCTGAAACGTAGGTCGGTATGAGGCATGCTCAGTGAGAGCAGATCCGAACTCCCTTCCAGGACCACAGATAGCCAGGAGCAACATTGGGTAATGGGCATAACAGGTTACAAGTAAATAAGACGGATGCAAACATATTCCATCCACAAAAACTCTTTTTAACAAAAAAAAGTTTGATCCCCTTATCCACAAAGTGCTCTTGTTTCACGTCAAAGCATGCTCTTTCAACTGTCTTGAACCTGAGTGGGAGTCCCACGGTTGACATAACATATCTGATCAATTACATCGTTTCAGAAAAGAAAAGGAGGAATTAAAACAGCGTAGCTAGAGGTCAACGCATATATATATATATATAGGTCCTACATACAAACAATATTTTGTTGGTCCCAACTCCAAGTGAGCCATACATACTCCACAAACAGAGGGATGGCTGACCTGTCCTTCCTAGTGCAGCTCATTGATTCTAGCAACAACCTTTAACCTCCAGTCTATCTCCTCGGACTAGAGCTTTAAGAAACTACGCAACATAAGACAAGAAAAAAATTTATTTTTCCTCTATTCCTGTTATCAAATATAAATCTTCAAATAGCTGATACTGCATGTGTTCCAACAAAAGCCTCCATTTTAAGATACGTAAATACATGGGATGGCAAAATTAGATTTTAATCGGCAGAAATGAGAACTCGATCTCGTTCTCTCTTTGGGTACAAAAATAACTGATACATACAGTAACTCAGTTGTTCCACATCATTGTTATTCGAAAGTTCTCACACATCCATAAGTAGCAGCAAGAAGGGGCACCAAAAATAATGGTTAGCTCAAGTACATTCACTGACCAGAGGTGGGCTTTGCTTGCTGAGGTTGTCCATCAATGACACTCAACTGTCTTCTAAGCTTTCCGATATAAGCTTGCACCTACCACAGTCAAGATCAACTTCAAAAATGCATTCACAAGACTTTCTCTAAATATTGAAATAATTTTTTGTCTGAGAGAAAAATAAAAATTCAAATAGTTGAGAACTTCCAGCCTATATATACATGAGGAGCACTCAGGTGATGCAGATGCCACCAGGCCCACCACAATACATCACACTGGGGCTCCCACCAGGACAGTGGGATGTATGGTGATTGGTGGCTAAGTTCACAATAACTTAATTTTTTTAAGTACAAATAAACAAGACAAAAAAATATGCTGTGAGAGCTTTTCAAGTGGGATAGCAAAAGACACTAGTTGATTGATTTCAAACAAGTCATACATTGGCTAATGAATGGGGATGAAGAAACGTTCAAAATATTCAAATCTAGGCTGGTCCAGCGGTCAAGATATTCAGATACAGCCTTGGTCCATTTTGCAACCACATGAAACACAGGGAACTGCAATTTGATGGATAAATTTTCATGCAACACAGTGACATGGTGCTTTGCAAAAGCATAGCATGTTAATAAGTTTTGAAAGGCAGGAACTTCTGTTGTTTCAGACGGAGAATTCTAGTGTACTATGCCAAGGAAAAATTATTTACGGCCCCCTATTGTATAATGTCCAAAATTCTTGAATGTTTCTGCCAAACAGATCCATTTTGTTTTCCCATCATCCATTATTCCTTTTCAAGTAATCAGGTATTTCATCATTTACAGGATTGATGCCTAGAGAATGAGGTGCTGATTAATATTCCTTCTAACATTTATTTCAGTGTCTAAAATTTAATCTTATCTACATGTGCCCTGGATGACCATAAATCTTGGAAACACCCTCTCTGTGTATCTGCAGGGGTAAAGGCTGAATACATCTATCCCTACCCAGACCCTGTATTGGTGGGAGACTTGTGCATTGGGCTGCCCTTTTTATCTATAGATAAAACCAATTCATATTTGGCCATTTGGATGGAGAAAATGCAGTCAATTAATAATTAGCATGTGTGTATGCATGTGTGTATGCATGTATAGGAAAAAAAATCCTAAATTGGGTTAACTAGCTTTCTTTGCTAGATAACCTACCTAAAATCTCCCACATGGAGAAATGATGTGGCTATCCATAGGGACCTTAAAAAATGCCTAGAAGAAAAGCAGAAACTTTCCTTTATGAGGTGGAGAGGGGAAGACAATGGGAGTCCTTTTGAGCCCTGTAGAGTGTAGACACCCCTGGAAGAAAACTTGGGTGTCTACAGTTCCTCTAAATGATTGAACTAGCAAACCATTGCTATGTTGTCTGGACATGGATTTGCTATACGAGTAATTCAGAAAAGATATCAAAATGACACAGGAATCTTGCACATCCACTCTTTTTTCTCTAATTCATAGCAAAAGTAGCCCCATTGGGCAACTTTTAAGTTAAAAAAAAAATGAAGTTTTCAACAACCAAATACCAATTGAAGAAAGCTTATTTTTAAGGTTGAAGGTTGAATTGGGAAGTGAATACATGGCCAAACCAGAATGTCCTCCAATTGGATAGATGGTTAGATAGTTTGGATTTATCACAGAATCTCTTCATGTAGGAAGGTCACACACACACACACACACACACACACAGAGAGAGAGAGAGAGAGAGAGTATGCTGTACCAATTGAGGTAACAGGTAAGCATCAGTAGAAAAACTGAAACCTGATAGACAGTAGCAGACTTTTAGGCCAGACGCTGGCCAGGGTCAGCCTGTCCAGCTCAGGATGACCATAATCTAGATTGGGGTTACCATAAAACTTCAGGCCTAAGACTGGATCAATAGGTCAATTTGCAAAGTACCAGGCTGTTTTTAAAATTCACAAGAGAATTTGCCTACAAGCCCAGCAGGCTAGGCCATTAGGATATGTACCAACCCAACAGGCTAGATTTGGACCACAAATAAAATGATAGGCCCAAACCAGGTAAAGAATGCTAGCTTGCCAAGCAATATGCTGCACTGCTGGGCCAGTTGTGAATAAACAAGTCTCTAAACCAATGTTCCCCATCTCCCATCCACCAACTCATGGCTACCCTATCCACTCCCAGGAGCCAGTTTTATGCACACAATTATTTTCTGAGCTTCTACCATGCTACTTAATTACTTGATGAAAGTTTTTGACTCATTGTCAGGCTAATCTAAAAGCTGTTTAGGTCAGCTCAGCTTATCAGCAGTCCTAAATGTCAATGTCCAGTAGAGCTAGAGCAAACACAGCACCATATATAATGCAGCATGGAGTTGGGCCACCCAATCAGTCATATGAAAAAGTTAGTCAAATCAACATGGCCAGATGATCTTTTTTTTCCTTTTTTAATCATAACCAAAGAAAGTTTATTAGCAATAAGAGAAAACTCCACACTTAAAGAAGCTTTCAAGTGTGGGGAACAGTACATGGTGTATAGCAGACTTAAAAGGCTGTTATCTGATGCTGGGCCCATATATCTGAGGTATTGAGAGTGTTGGACCAAATACAGCCCCAGCCTCTAGCGTTTTAGCACCAAGTGACTACCCTCAAACTTAAACCTATGTTGACATGCTACTAGTCAGCCCAGGACCGCCACAGAATGTAGTGGACACTGACTATCTGGGCATGGTGAGTTGGTGACCCCTAAACTAGACTGGATCTTCCCACTCCATCTGATTATTTCTTTCTGATCATCATCTAAGCCTTATCCCTATATGGGGCGGGCTACAGGAATGCTGTTTTGACATTCTGTTCTGTTTAGTACCATATTCATTGTTAAATTACAAGAGCTTAAAGCATTTTTTACTACTTCAATCATGCCTTCTCTTGGTAATAAAATAAAATTTATTAAAGAAAAAAAGAAAGTACAAGGAGAGTGACTAGAAGTCGCTTGAGAGAGAAAGGAATAACAGACTTCAACTCCCAACAAGACCTCCAAAGACAACCCAGGGACAATAAACACAAAATCCAAAGAACCTAACTATCCAATTAATACAACCCTCGCCACAACACCCATATCCCACAATCAACTCAAACCAATAATCCCAAAAATAAACTCAAGCTACCATCACACTTCAGCCCAAGCAAACTCAAAAAACAATAACACCAACCACTCAGAGAAACTACACCATAGACAACCCCTCCCCCCAAAAGCTAAAACTATGACCTCCAAACCAGTTACTTCTTCTACGAGGCTTTTTTAAGCTTCATCATCTTCTTGTTTGATCCTTGACCCAAAGATACCCTCTTTTAGTTAGCAAAGACATTTGAAAACAAGGTATCTTAATGCCCCTAAGCCTTCTAGCCCCTTCAACTTGCAACAGAATGCCTCTTCTTGCAGGTTCTGTACATAGCCTTCTATGTATGTGCCACCATTCTTCCTTTGACTACTAAAAATATGGACTTAGCCATCTTAGTCTACTTTCTCTCATTTTATCACCTATTGGAGCTACTCCAACGTTCCTTTGAATAACTTCATTTCTGACCCTATGCTTTCTAATTTTTCCACCCATCCATCTCAGCATACACATTTCTGTCAAACTCATTTTTTGAACATGTTTCTTGACTGCCCAACACCCTTCTCCATATAGCATTGCTGGCCTTAAAACTGTTTTATAGAATTTTCCTTTTTTTGATCAATAGATAGAATTTAGAAATTTCCTTTTAACGTAAGTGGTATTTATCTATCGCACAAGACTCTGGATGCACCCCTCCATTTTTCTCTTATTATTTCTTTTTGATGATTTTGATTAATCCAGTAAATAAATGGCTAGGATTAACCAGTTGGGTTGAATTTGTGACAGTAATGTAAGAGAAACAAATTGTGTTATGCACCATGCATGTGTATTTTGTCTAGTATCTATCACTAACAGAAAGAAGCCTGGTATAAGGAACAAGAACATATGACTCAAATCATGCTCACTCTGTGACTTTGAAATTGCCTTTGTTTACAGTGGTAATCGAAAGTAAAAGCTAGCATTTTAAAAATTGTACTATTATGTTCATTTTGTTCATGCTATTAAGTTATCTACTTTTTAGTACATCTACAACATGAGAGTAATGGGCTGTGAAACTCAATGCATGAAATTAGAGGGAAGGATTTGAGTCTCTGCTGCATCTGCAAAACATTGGGGAATATGGCTAAGCAACCTCATTTTTTTATCAGGCTTGCTGTCTATGGGGAAGGACTGTACACCACATTGCAGTATGGCGATTTTATAAAAAGGCCATGCTTAGGATGTTGTCAGTTGTGACTCAAAAGGACTTCAGACATTTTTAGAACTTTGCCTATTGTCAACCTAAGAGTTGATCTTCAATTTGGAGCTCCCCATGGATAAATTAGGGTTTTCACACATGAGGTCCTCACAGGCCCACCAACTGAGCAATCTGTAGGGGGAACCTAATGAAGACAAAGATGGTATTGGTGAAAACAGGTTTGGTTGTTTAAAAGTTTTTTAATTACAGAATTTTGGGGTCTTATACACACACACAGAGAATCGAATTTTAATTTTTTGTAGATGTGAAATAAATTAATTAGCTAAAGCCTCATACCACTCCCGGACTAAATTCCCAACGAAAAGGGCAGGAGAGGAAGGTCTGGTGGAACCAATGAGACCTCTTAAAACTTCATACCTCTACCCCTACCTCAAATAAAAAAAAAAAGAACTAATGATTTAAATTCCAGTTTAAAGCAAGTTCTGACATGATTCAAGATCAGAATTTGGCTAAAAATTCTGAAATTCTTTGAAATGCCAAGAACAATGGTGATAATTTACATTTACTTTGTCACTTCCTATATTTCTACTTTTCTTCTTTTTCTTCATTTTACTCTTACCTCTTTGTTTTCTCTATTTCTTCTGTCTCTCCCAAAATTTTCTCTATTTCAACTTGTAGTGAGAATGGGCCTTAGTGTTTTTTTTTTCTTTAATTATTTCTTTAGTGCTGACCGCCCCATTAAGGCCATCCAGGTAATTGTACTTAATTTTAGAATTAAGTTAATAAAAGAGATCAAGGGGG